AATCTTGATTGAACCTTGTGAATGCTGAAAAGTGGCAAATAAAGTGTTCTGTTCATTCATTCATTCATGTTTTCACTCTCATATATCCCTATAATTTGCCAACACTTCAGTTCTGTTCATTGCAGTCTCCGCAGATTTTGATGCATTTTTTCATGCAATGAATCCAATGATTTGAGCAGTGCCAAAAATTGATAATTGCGTTAGTTGATCAAATGCTCTTTGATAATGGAAATGAGGCTGTCACTGTCCTCAAAATGAATCCATTTCATATCATTCTTTACTGTTGGGAACAGCCAGAATTCACAGGGTGCCATAAATTTTTTTAATGTTTTTTTCCAGAAAATTGAATGAAACAAATTTTTGGAAAAAATGCTAACAACTGTTTTGGAACTGCACCAAAACAAACACTTAGTTCATCAAGAAATCTATTAAATATATATTCAACAAAGACAATGAACTGCTAGAAAAACCGGGGCAAACTCAAAGAGTCCCCCCTTGGTTGGAAAAAAAAAAAAAAAAAAAAAAAAAAAAAAAAAANAAAAAAAAAAAAAAAAAAAAAAAAAAAAAAAAAAAAAAAAAAAAAAAAAAAAAAAAAAAAAAAAAAAAAAAAAAAAAAAAAAACTTTTGTGATTTTACAACTTCATCAAAATGTACATAATCAACCAATCACAGGTCTCACAAAAAAACTTGAACCCAAGCACAAAGCAACAAAATCAAGAACAAAATAAAAAATAATGAAAAACCTTTCTCTGCGAAAAATCAATAACCATCAGCATTTTCACTCCTTGATTCATGTTCAAAATGTGAACTTCATTTTTGCAGTGAAATGGGTAATTTATTCCTTGAAGAGTTCTGCTGAGTTGCTGTGTTTCTTTGAATATCTTTTGGACTAAAAACCCTTGTTGGGACTTTCTTGAAATGCGAATTACACTCTTTTAACTTAGGAATCCTATACTGATTTCTGGCCTTGTCCCAGGCTGATCAAGTGTTTTATTTAGAATTTGCATTTGTTATACTTGATCCACAGTTACTTCATCACAAAATGTATGTTGCAGTAACCTATTCTTCAACATAAAACTGGTAGCAGAGCATGGTTTAAACAAGGAGCCCATCTTAGATGTAATCTTTGATAATGACCAAAAAAAGTCTGTGACTTCTGGCTACTTTCTTTTTTAATCCCACATATAGTAATAACGAGACTGCTCAAAAATTTTAAATGTGATTTAAAAACAAACAAATTTTGGAAATATTTTCCATACATCCAGACCTCTACACAAAAAGATGGAGACAATTTATCAACTGACTTCACACATTAGACTAATTTTTCATTCAAAATATTAGTGAATAATTAATGAATTGGTAAGTGGAAGAAAACTTGCCTGTAAATGTGTGAATAATCGTTGTCCTCTCCTCCAGAGATCTTATGTCTCGCCTTTTCTTTGACTTCAAATGCTTTTTCTCTGGCTGCTTCTTTGGCTGAAACAAGCCTTTCTCGGAATCCTCTTCCACCTTCCCAATCAGTCAACAATAAATTTCTCAATCACTCATGACGTGTTGATAAAAACTAAAACTACTTATTTAAAAGTTAAATTCGCATGAAAAATGTTTCATTGAAAAAATTTGACGCGCCGGTGGAATTAATCACAAACGTTTCTCACCAGTCCAGTTCACTGATGAGTCTCTGAGTCGTTGTTTCCAAGTTTCTATGGGACCCAAGGCTCCTCCTGAACACTTGTCCAAATTGTTTTCCATATTTTCACTTCAATTAAAGTCCACGTTACAATATTATTCTAGATCGCCATGCAATTTTCTCAGCTTTCATGCTATTAATGACCCCTTCACGTAATTGGGAAAAACATCATCGCTTGAAAAAAGTTTTGGTCGTCAGTCGGTCGACAAAAAAATTGTCAAATATCTCTTTAAAAAAATCCGATCAGATAAAAAATTGCTTCTCGGATAATTCTTTAAAAATGATACTGTGTTATTTTTCGCCTGGTTCGACGGGTTGCATGACTTGTTCTAGGAGCCATTGTACACTGTCGGTGTCGACGGCAAATCGACGCCACTGTGACAGAAAAGCCCGCCATTATTTCCTGGCACCAGCAGCACGAATTCACATTTTCTCAAGAGAGGATCGTGTGTATATATAGAATGCAAGTAGGAATACTGCCTTTTTCGGAGGCAACGAGGAAAGAAAACATTTGGAGGAAGAAATTCGTTGATTCCTTTGGGAACACAGTCGCATCTTGTGCAGATAATCAAGAGATCCTTGCCTTGATGAAAGTCTTATATTGAATGACGCGTTTGGGGAGTGAAACAGGAAGACTTACAAGTCACTAAACCCATCAGGGATGAAAGCAGGAATGGAACCACGACTTTGAAATTGCTGTCACAATTTCTTCGTGGTACATCTAAAAAATAAGATATTGAGCAGCATGAAGCGTCATGAATAAAACTTTATTTTAAATTATACATTGAAATAATATAAAGAAGTAATTCATTGATCAAGCGCTCAAATTTTTTTTTTTATTATTGTGAGGTATTTCAAGTGCCTGAAATTCGACAGCTTTCCACAAATGACGATGTTGTAGTTTTTAGAAATGCAGTGTATGGAGAAAGGGTCGAAAGGAACATTTGATTCGGCATTTATTTTTTTAGATATAAATATCGGTTGAAAACTTTTCTAAATCTAAACAATATAAAACCAAGTTGCTTCAATCAATTTTTTCCAAGTTTTGAGACGTTGAAAAAATTAGACAAGATATTTGTATCTCCTAAAAATTAATCTAACTTTATTTACTCGGACCATTTTCCCACAATACACAGATCAATGCGAAGTCATCTGAACCCTTGACATGTCAAGCAACTGAATATCTAATGCAAAATTCAAAATGAAATCCAGCAAAACAGGAAAGTTTCTAAATTTTCAATTTTTCTCATAGCAAAAATTTGTTGTGCCTTTACGAGTTTATGACTTGTAGCATAAACAGTGACGAACAATTAAAAAAAAATCGAGCATTTCCAACTTTTCTTGATTTCTATTTTAAAATATCATTCAAAAATAAAAAGTGAAGTTAGTGAAGAGTTTGGAAAGAAGGTCTGTCAGGAATTATCAAAGAATCAAGAGAAACTTTGCCTTCATTCCTTTATTTTCACAATTTTTTTATTTATTTAGCTCTACACTTTTAGTAATCCCAATCGAGTTTAATGAGGGTAATTACGCAGAGCAGAGTTGAAAGTTGCATTTAACCCAAGTTTGTAACGTAACTTCTACTTCGCAAAGATGAACGTAGATGTCGCATGATGCGATCACACCATCATGATACGGGGAGTAATGGCGCAATAAGACAGTAAATCGAAAGAAGCACCTGAAGAAAAACCTGAGGCGAAGATTCAACAGAAAAATTATACTTCTTACACAAAAATAAAAAAAAAATGAAGCATTTTTCACATTATGGAAATTGATTAAGCCATCTTCCTCTCGTCTTTAGTTCCTTCTTGCTCCATGGTAGCACTCCAATTCAAAGCTTCATTTTGGGACAAAGAACTCCTTCTTTTGGCAGAAGTCTC